GAGCCTTGAGGAGCAAGCCAGTAAGCAGCACTCCTCTGCATCAGCTCCCTGCCTCCAGGTTCCTGCCCTGACTATATTTGATGATGGCTGTGACAGGGAAGCAAGGTTGCACATGGCCATCGTGGTTCATCGAAGCCATGGAAACCCCGACTAAGACAATTTGGGCAGAGCTTATCTGGTCAGGGCCCGCCAGACGCTGGCTATTGTGCACTTGTGTTATGAGCGGGTTGCTCGGAAGGCATTCTTTAGAAAGGCAAGGCGAAAGGCTGAAGGCTGCTACATAGGTTTGCTGATACAATGCACACAATTCTGACAATGCAGCGATGAGTCAGCACACAATCTGAAACCCACCCTGCTCAGGCCTGGCCCTCGGGTGATTAAGAAGGTAAGTATCTAAAATTTACCACAGAGCAGCCCACGAAGAGTTTGACAGACTACAATTGGTGGCTCATCAGAGCTTGAAGGAATTCTTCAAGATCTCCACGTAGGCCAGCTCCATCTTAAAATGCCTAATCTTGTTTTGCAAGGAAGAAATGCCAATGCTTTCAACCTTATGAATATTAAAAATGTGAACTGACGATACATCATCAAAGTAACATTACCGACAGTAAAGCTTTCAAAAATCAAGAGCTATTTAGTGTTGACAACACTCTTCTCATCAGTCAAAAGGACAGGCATGGTGGTTCATGCTTTAATTCTAGCACTCAGAAGGTAGTGAGTTTGAGACCAGCCTGGACTACACAGTGAAACCTTCTCTCAAACGAGCAGAGACTAAGATGTAGCTAAATTGTACAGTGATCACCTAACACACACAAGACCCTGGTTTATTTTTGCCGCCCACGCCCACGAACCTATCCCTGACTTGATATTGTTAAAGTCTATGTACACAGGCACACATGTGTATACACAGCCCCCCCCATGCACAGGCACACGTGTGTATACGGCACATGTGTGTATACACAGCCCCCCCATGCGGCGGCGGCGGCGGCGGCGGCAGCAGCAGCAGCACACACCTTTAATCTCAGCACTAGGGAGGCAGAGGCAGGTGGATCTCTGAGTTCAAAGCCAGCCTGCTTTACAGAGTGAGTTGCAGGACAGCCAAGGCTACACCGAGAAACCATCTTGAAAAACAAAACAAGAGCATTTATCTGTGAACAGCCACATGCTTTAAAGACAACGAATACACTTCAGCTCTGAAAATACTTATGAAGACAGACTAAGTCCCAGATGGAAGAGAAATGACGGGTTTACAGATAGGATCTCATACTGTAGTCCAGGCTGGCCTGGAATTATGCAGCCTAAACTGGCTTCAAATTCTCAGTAGCCTTCCTGCCTCAGCCCAAGTGCTGGGATTTCAAGTGTGAGTTACCAGGACTAAATCCATGATAACAGCTACTTAACTGCTCCCAGGTGTAGCATAAAGAAAAGCCACACAAGGAAGACTTGGGTAAGGGTCCAGAGAAATGGAATGCAGATTCCAAAGCACATTTAGGCACCCATATTTAGAAAAGAGGATTTTTCTTTCATCCCCATTGGCCTTTTAACATTCATGGCACTTACTTTACAGCTATAAAAATGATCTGGGCCTGGAGGCCTAGGCCTGTGATCCCAGCTTCTTGGGAGGCAGAGGCAGGAGGAGGGCAAATTTAAGGCCTGTCCAGAGTACACAGTGAGTACTCCCAGCCTGGGAGACCTAATGAGACCTGGCCTTGAGATTTCAAAGAAAAGAGGGAGCTCAGTGGTAAGGCACTTGTCCAGGACACATTAGGCTGGAAGTTCAAAGCCTGGTACTATAGTACATACTTTACACATACCCGTCTTCTAAGTGAACGGCAATGATTTTTCCCCTACCTTCTACCTTTCTACCGTGGCTGACTCATTCAGTTAACAGCACTGTGGACAGTGTTCCCAACCTTCTTCCTGTCTCAGCAGCATTACCCCGTGATAGGGGAGGCATGTTGGCATGCATTCCTCACTCCCAACGAGATGTCTGGATTTCACAATGCAACACATAAAATCAACTGGCGTCACACACACGTTTTCCAAGTCCCTACCTGTAATCCATTTCTGCTGCAATGGTGTTTACTGAGCACTTACTATCTGCCAAGTGCCCAGGTGCACTACATATAGCAAACGACTTGAATTCCCATGGGAACCTCTGAGGCCCCTAAATGAACCTAATTAAATGTCCCTCATGAGGACAGCAAGGCAGAGTTTAAGATCTCAAAGGCAGTGAGTGACAGACCTTCCGGTCAAATCTGGATCATGTGGTTTACAGTCTAACACTTTATTCCAAATGCACACGAAGGATTTACGTACCGTATCAGACAAAGGATTTGTTCTAGCATATTGTTTTATGCTATATACAAGCTGCATCTTGTTATTAAGAGTGACAGTATCTCACCACTGCTGTTGTGGCTGGGGGTCCTGCACTCTGCCCCACAGAGATCCCCCTGAAAACCGCCCTGAGACCTCTCTGCTTTCCCATTCAGAATTGTGGAAAATTACAAACTTGGCTTTCCTATTACTTTTCAGTGAAACTGTGTTCACCCTAAGATTATAGGATTGCTAGAGAGCCGCTGACAGACCCTTCAGTCTTTTGATATGAAATCTGCTACCCTAATGAAGAAGGAATGCTGATCTGGAGAACCAATTAAAACTAATTAGAAGTTTTAAGTACATCTAGGCACTTCATACAGAAAATGAAGTTTAAGGTGAACTTCATTTTCAGAACTGTACTAATTAGAACCGATTTAGATTCTTAAAGGTCTCTCTTCCTTGTACAGACGGATCGACAGCAGAGAAAACGATTTATGAATCACAAAGTCTGCAACTTCATGAATGACAAAGGTTGAACAGAATGAAACAGAGCTACACCCCATACAACTTCCTAGGAAAACGATCTCATGTCATGTTTTCTTCAGCAAGAAACTCCTAATGGGCAGGCTTGTTTCAAAAATCAAATTTAGTCCAATTTTAAAATCCGAGGGCGACTGCAATTAAAAATCCCATTTTTGCAGCCACCTAGTTAGAAACCGTTTAAAGACAAAGACATGCATGCCACCTACAGGGGACCTTTGGAACCACAGTCCCAGTTCTATGTCCCACACGCTGAATTCATATCCAAAAATCGTACTCATTACAGAAAGCTCTAGGAAAGGGTGTCAAAGAAAAATAAAAAGATCCACTACCGTTTGGATTATGTCTTCTTATAGTAATTAAAAACCACCAGATATGATCCACAGACACACAGCTGTAAACAGGAGCAGAGGAGACAGTTACATAGCCACGAAGGCCTTTAAAGTTCTACACAGAACATGGAGACAGACGACTCGGGTCACTGGTGATGAAGTCTGACATGTGCCCTCTCTCTCCTCGGGTTTCTCTCCATTTTCTGGCACTCTGATGGTCTCTGAAGCTGTTCCCTGGGTCTTTAGATCCAATTCTCGCTGTGTGTGCAGGACAGGCCCCTCTAGTCACAGCCATCTCAGCTTTGGATGTTCCTTTCCCTCCTCTCTGCCCTCCCTCGTGGGAAGCAGACACCAGTGACTTTATGGCAATGTTCTCAATTCAAGATCAACTTTAAGCTAACTGGAGTCCTTCAACAACATCACGCCTCTTGTTTAATTGGGTTTGGATGAAGCTTGTGCATAGCATAGCTTTTGGCATTTGCTTGCTTCCAATTTCCCAGGTGACCTCATCTTGTCAGTGCAGGGCTGCAAGCCCTTCCCAGCTGACTTCTGCCTGCATTCTGGAAGTGGCGAACTGCCCCACTGTCCACAGCAGCAGGCCCTACTTGTTCAAGGGAATCCTGATTCATCTCTAGCAATTTCCTTAACACTAGCAATTACTTGGACAGTTGGTACGCTCTGGCTGATGCTCAGCTAGTGGCATCACCTTACCCGTTGTTGCACCTGCCATTTATCTTTTGAGATAGGGTCTTGTTACTATGTGACCCAGAATGGCCTTGAACCCATGATCCTACTGCCTCCACCTTCCAAGTGTTGGGGTTCTAGCTATGCACTGGGCAGCTCTCTCTGGACAAACACATTGCTGCTGTCTTCCAGGCCCCGACTCAGATCAATTGCCAGGCTGGTGAAGTCCTGCAGCTTCACAGTCCAGTTCTGCCCCAAGCTCTGGTCTAAATCAGTGAAGTCACTCATCCAGTCCATATGTCCGAGGAGAGGCTGGTCTCCCCTGCAGTGAACCCGCTACCCCATGTCCTTCTGGTGGTTCCCCAGTACAGAGCCCTGATCCATCAACAGGCCCTGTGCTAAATACTCAACTCTTCCAATATAGATAGGGGTTCTCTGTGCGGAATGCAGTTGGCACTAAAAGTGTTCTCTGGAAGGGCACCCCTCAGTTAAGTCCTGCAGTAGAGCTCAGTGTTGGCCTTATTCCATGATAGGGAATTTTAAGATCCATTTCATTCTGTTACAAATTACTTAACTCCAGTCTGTCACTCCCTTAGGTCAGATCCCCAGGGGGAGTGGCTGCAGGACAGGTTAGGGAGTGGGTTGAACTCCCAGGGAGGGCAGGCAAGCAGGGTGTGGTTTCCAGAAAAGTGGTACTAAGTTGCTTTGTGTGGCTAAGCCAGCTGGACTACAGATGCAAAGTAGAATTCCAAGGAGGAAGAAATTGAAGTAAAGCAGGGTGGGAAGGGGTGTGAGGATCCGAGGGCGTCTGAGGTCAATATTAGCATGAGGTCCACGTCACAGAGCAAGCTGCAAAGTGTAAACTATTACCTCCAAAGCATCACACATTCGGCTTCTACTGACTGCCTGGGGCAAGCTGCTTCAAGAGGAGGCACATTTGGACACAGATTTTGAAAATGTAGCAGCAAGCAAGCTTTAAAAACCGAAGAAAGCTCTGAATACACCACTGTTCTGAACCGAGTCTCCTCTCAGTGTCTCTAAATGGAACTGCTATTGCTTTCTGGAAGGTAGTCATTTGCTATCAATGTTCATCTCTTCAAAGCCATTTGGAAGCATTCAGAGTCACAAGGTTTCAAAAATGTTTATTTCATCAACACATGAAATGTGCCATTTAGCACCAATGACTGAAAATTCCAGAATTCCATCTGGTTACTACTTTTTGGAATTGGTGCTGTTGTTCAAGTCATTGACAGATTAGTCCACGTGAGCAGATGATTATTGGAACAAAAACTGGAGAAAACATAGTAAAAAGCATTTGACAAATGTGCACTGAACTAATTTTTAGTTGAAAAAAATCAGTTTTGTGTAAACGTGATGTCTATTTTAAAATCAGATTTTCTTGGAAGACATAGAAAAGAAAACTGCTGAGCCTGTGAACACCAACACCTGTAACTGGCTTTCTTTCCTCACACCGGCATCTGTCTAGTGACTCACTACAGTAGGCACCCTTACCTCTCGAGATAACTCACCAACCTGTGATGCAGGAAACGAAACTACGTACAGCCAGTAAAGAGAATATTTTCAGTTTCCTTTAAAAGAACATGTAAGTATTAAAATATAAGGAAAAAAAAAAACACTACTGCACAACTAAGTAAAAGTGTGACTGTCTTTGAAATTTACTGGAAAGAAAAACTAAAATTTATTGCTTACATGGTAAGAGATAACTATGATTGCTAATTGGGTCAACTTATCTCTAGTCTTCCTTCCTTTTCCTTCTTGAGGCAAGGTGTCATTATGCCTGAACTCACTCTGTAGACCAAGCTGATCTGGAACTCAGAGATTCCCCTGCTTCTGCCTCCCCAGTAGTGGAATTAAAGTCGTACACCACCATGACCAGTCCTCAAAACATTACTCTATAGTGACAGGTAGGTATCATTAGAAATTGGATTATCTCTAGTTTCTTGAAAATGCACTGAGTCAACCATGCTGCTTCAGATTGAGGCCAACCTCAAATTTATTTTTATTTGGGTGATCCCAGTGTTACTTTTAAGCAGACCTTGGTGCTGAGCTACAGAACTGAAGCTGGATTTCAAGCCCACTGCAGGCAGGCCTTGCAGTCCATAGTGGTCGTCATCCATGTGCCAGATCTCTAAGGACATGCTGGAGAAATGTAAATGCAATCTTCCCACGCTGTATGCACATGCTCCATTCCCATCTTTATCTTATGCAGGTGTTGGGGGCGTGGGTGAGATGGAAAAGGGTTTCAGGATGGCAGTTTCTATAAGGAAAGGGGGGTAAACATTAATTTCACATCACCAACTATTTATTAAGTATTTTACACTATGTGCTATACCCAGGAGTGGCTAAATGCAATTCAAGAACCATGTGCAATGTTTAGAGATGTCCTTAGCTGACGTTTAAAGCAATCAAGGAGAAAGCAGATGTATGCACAGTACCAAAATTAAAAACCTTTGTGTTGCGAGAACTACACTACCAAAAAACGCAAGACAACCACAGAATAGGAGAAATTATTCACAAATTACACATCTGGTATCAATAGGCAAAGGAGTTGTAGAATATTAAAGACAACTCAGTATGAAAATGGGCAAGTATTCCTCTGGTGACACAGAAGACATTGACTATCATTAAGAAAAAGAAAATAAAAACTGCAGTGAGATCCTATTCCACATCTACTACATAGCTACGGTCATAGTGAGAGGCAGGAGCAAGCACTAGTGAGGACACGGCAGCCATGGGGGCCTTGCGTACCAATGGTGGGAACGAAAGACAGTAGAGCAGCTTTGGGGAAAGTCTGGCCACTCCTCACCATACCTATGCAGGTTCACACGGACCAGGACTTGGAAAACTACACACTCGCAAGAATGTTCACAGAGGCGGTATTCCTTACAGGCAAGAGGCAAATGAGGGGAATGTTACCAGTTGATGAATGAATGAATGAATGAATGGGTGGATAAGGCGATCAGAGCCACACACAGCATGTGAACCAGACACAGAAAGGAGTATAAGGTGAAGCAGGAATCCCGAAAACACTTTGCTGAATGAAAGGACCCAGACACAAAAGGATACACACTGAGATTATACTTGTAAAGCACACAGAGTGATCAATACGTAGTGAGGGCTAGTGGCATTTCTTTTTGGGGTGATGAAAACACTTAAAAATTAGGAAGTGGTGCTTTATACAACTCTGAATATACTAAAAACACCAAAATGTATGCTCTGTAATGAGTTATATCAATTTGAAAAGGAAATAGGTCTTTGAAAAAACTAAACAACTCTTTATATCCAGAAACATAAAAATATTTATGCCTCAAAGGAAAAAAAATCTACTTTTAAAAAAGTACAGCAGCTTTAGCAAACACTGAAATCCGTTAAGGCAAAAAACGTATTTTCTTGGCCTTTTAGCACATTCCACATCAACACCAGCCAACCTGGATTATAACCCTCTTACCCTCCTGTCGTTAGATTGAGTTTTAACACCCACCACTGGTCCCTAAACTATGGCTAGAATCCTTATCATCAGAAAACACAGTGAACAAATCCAGTCATTGCAAAGTCATCAGCAAGAAGTGAAATTCATTAAATTTCAGCCTCATCAGTCAAACTGAGGTCGCAGCTACAAGCAGGGGTACAAGATGGAGACACCATCTCCCCTCTACAGTCTTGAGCAGCAGGGGCGAGCGACAGAGGCAATCCACATAAACATGGACGCAGGACAGGGGCACATATAAAGCTCTATTTAATTGGCGGCACTTGTCTTTTACAGACCAGCCCACCCAACTGCCTTTGGACAATGACTAAGTTTAAAGTTACAGCTAGCCTTTTAAAAAGTCAGAGAGTCAAGAGGAAGAGGTTATGTTTAGTGCCATAGTTTGGAAAAATGCCCCTCAAAGGTCTGGTCCCCAGCTGGAGCACTTGGAGGAGTGCTGGGACCCTTGTCTTCCGGGCAAGCCCTTGAGGACTAGTTTTGGACTTTGCTCCTCCCTCTCTCTAGTCACCTCAGGCGGAGGTGAGCAGGTCTCCTTTGTCATACTCTCGCCATTACCTCCAGCTTGTTCACAGGCTCAACAGATCAGGCCAACCAGACCCAGGACTGAAACTGGCCAAGACAAACTTTTCTGTATTTTACCGTCTTAGAGGAACACACTCAGTTACACAGCCATTTAATTTACTGCTGAAAAGGACTTTAAAAGGGCCCACCAGGCTGGGGGTTAGCGCAGTGGTAGACAGCTTGCCCGTCACATGCAAGGACATGGGTTCCATCCCCAGCATGGCAGAAACAAAGCTGGCCGCGTAGTTACTGAGATAGATAGGGTCTCATTACGTAGCCCAGCCTGGCCTCCAACTGCACTGCCTTCCATTCTCGGGTTCTGGGTTGTGACCAAGAAGCCAAGGCAGGACAGGTCAGAGATGGAAATCTTGAGTGTCAATGCCTGCAGTCACCGCTGCTATGTCACTGTGTGGAGGTGAGGAACTGGACAACACCTTAGCCCCGACAAGGACCAGCTGATGAGATCTCAGAGCAGGAAGAGCTGTGAATGCACGCACCGACTTTTTCTTTCTGATGTAGACAATACGAATGTCTTCACTTCGGTACTCTTCATCATGTTTGTCCAAAGGGATTTCCTCAAAGTCAAAGTCTAGCTGGAGGAGCTGTAAATTTAAAGGACACACATGTTACGCTCAGTAATTTGGACAGACTTATGGTAATGAAGTTAGGATGACAGTCATTTCTGGAGAAGGTAGAAACCTTCTCAGGGCTGGAAACACTCTGTATCTTTATGTTGGAGCAGTTATTTGGATGAAAATGCATCAGCTGAGAACTCGATATACATGCTCTGGACATGTTTTAACTGAATACAATTATTTTAATTATACATAATTTCAAAAGTTCAGTAACATTTTCTCTTATTCATGAAAAACATGGAACTCATCTTAGCATATGCTGAGGGAGTCATATACTTGCTTTTGTCATTAAGCCAATTTTTAATGGGCTGAATTTGTGCCCATAAAATGATCTAGGTCACCGCTTGGGGGAGAGTGAAGGACAGATAGGGGAAGGACAGTGCCTCCTTTTTAAAAATGTCTTCTCCTGCCCCCCTCATCTCCCCCGGGACCCCCCTTACCTTCTCCCCAGCCTAACCCCCATTCACTCTCCCCAACAGGTAAGGGCTTCGATGGGTGTTGGCATAGCTTGGCACATTAAGTTGAGGCAGGGCCAAGCCCCTCCCTGCTGCATTAAGGCTGAGCATGGCATTCCCTCACAGGGAATGGGCTCTAACAAGCTGGTTCACGTACATGTACCAGGGATAAATCCTGATTAAAACCCTGAAAGTGATTAACGAGGTAAAATGTGTAATAAAAACACAGAAATAAAATTCACCATCTGTACATTTGTATCAGGTGTTCTTACATCGCTGATAAGCTTCAAAGCCAGTCTGTGTTGAACAGCCTTGAAAACTGTCTCAGACAAGATAGGCTTGTCATCACCAGTCCCTGACACACTGCCCTGTGGAACAATATGGACTACTGGGAGCAGAGAAGACTCAGAACTGGGAAGATCCGAGAATGGTGGGCTCTGTGCAGGAGGGCTGTGGAGGATCTTCTCCTCGGGTTATAAGAGAAAGCGTTCCCCAAATGAAACTGTCGGAGCAACCACATACAACTTCCCAGAGGATAACTGGTACACACAATACTCACCTCAAAATATTTCTTCTCAATTTCTGGATTTTTCCCCATTGTACGTTGTTCATAGCAACATATAATACAAGTTTCAGATCCACTGAGCTCTTTCAACGTTTTTAGCAATGGTTCCAAGGACTATAAAAAAAAAGTACAATTTTCAATTTATTACTTCAAGAATTTCCTGTTATTCAAAGGAGGCAGGAGTTGAAGAGGCCAACGATCCTGTAATACAACCATTCTGAATCAATGCCACACAGCAACATTCCACAACTAGATTGTTAAATAACCATTGACTAATCAATAATTATACTGATTTCTACCAACAACAACAAAATCCTAAGGATTAGATCTTGTTTCCACAGGAAAGCAAGCAGAATTGACTTGTTTCTTTTTTGTTTTGAATAGGGGTGTATTAAATAGACGAGGCTGACACTGAACTTGCAGAGTTTCCTCTATTTCGGCCTCCCCAGTTCTGGGAATACAGGAGTTGTGCCACCACGCTTAGCTAGCAAATCTTAAAAGTCTAATTTCATTTAACCTAAGTTAATGTGGTATTTAAATAATCAACAATATATTCAACAAAAGCCAGCCTGACCCTAATGGTGTAAGATTTATTTTTATTACTTTAGTGATGTGCACGGTGTGTCTCTGTGTATGGGCATGTGCACAGGTGTTAGTGACTGCAGAGGCCAGAGAACCTGGACTTCCCTGGAGCTGGTAGGTGCTGGGAACTGAACTCAGGTTCTCTGGAAGAGTATGTGCTCATAACTGCTGACCCTAATTTGAACATCAGTTGGCTCAACAGTTATTAATTTAAAAATAAACACTGCCCCCAGCCGGGCGTTGGTGGCGCACGCCTTTAATCCCAGCACTCGGGAGGCAGAGGCAGGCGGATCTCTGTGAGTTCGAGACCAGCCTGGACTACCAAGCGAGTTCCAGGACAGCCTCCAAAGCCACAGAGAAACCCTGTCTCGAAAAACAAGCAAACAAAAAAAAAAACCAACCAAACAAAAATAAACACTGCCCAACACTGTATGAATTAATATGTAAAGAAAACTCATTCCACAAGTGTAGTAAATCTTGTCACTGAAAATTAACTAATTCTGGGGAGGGTCTCACTCTGTGGCCTATGCTGGCCTAGCTAGCATCCATGGCAACCATCCACCCATGTCCTGGGATTTCAGGTGTAAGCCACCATGCCAGACTTGCATCTTAATTTTCAATGTCATGGTTAACAGTAAGTGGGAAAGAAAGGAGGGAGGGAGGGATGGGTTAGCTTTTCATAATAAATCCAAATGGGAAAATCCTTTTAAAATTTTACAAAAAGCCTCCAGCAGAATGCATGTAAGTTCTCTCAACCATTCTTCACAGGCCTGTATGCTGATCCTGAACTGTATATACACGTTGATCATGATGAGCCCGTCTTCTCTTTAATCATCTATACAGCAAATATCCGACACCCAGAGCTGTTACGACATGAAGAAATGTGGGCTCCCAGCTCACTCAGCACTCACCTCCTCATAGTATATGCAGTCAGCCATCAGTATGTAGTCCGGTGAAGTGACGTCTTCTAGTTCTTCCCCCCTTAAAAACGCCAAACGTATGTCTTTAGCCGGTGTTTAACAATTCAAAATACTCATTTCAGAACGAGAAAACGAGAAGCAGAAAGTTTCCCTCATTAACCACGCGTTGAGCAGAAGGCAATTTAAAGCAAATGAAAGCGGTTATCTTAGAACAAGCTGAAAGGCCATACAAACCATTTCAGTACCTTGGCTTGAACAGAACCAGTCACAAGATGCTTGTTCATATTAATATTCATTTTCAGCAAGTCTTGCAGCTCCTCAAGATCAGTGACTACAACATCTGCCCTAAAAAACAACCTCGATTGGGAACAGGCTCGTGGCTGCGGCCGGTGACCTGACGCCGGGCGACCAGCGCCTTCCCGCCAGCTCTTACCCGAGGGTCGCGGCCATGAGCCCCACAGCCCCGGTGCCCGAGCCCAGCTCCAGCACCGAGCGGCGACTCAGCGCGTGGGCCCCGTCGCCGGAAAACCCCGGCGTCTCCAGGTACTTGGAAAGGACGATGGCGGCGTCCCACACAACACAACCCACGCCTCCGGAGCCGTACTGCTGCAGGCGAAGGACCGTCCCATCCCGCTTCTCCAGAACCCGCACAAAGCTCCACAGCGGGTCCTCCGCCTCTGGCTCCGACGCTGACTCCACGGCCGCCGCCATTGCTACCGCCACAGGCTGGGGCACGTGGTGACGTCACGCCCACGCACGGCCCGTGCCTCCCAGCGGCAGAGCGGCTGTCCACAGCGCGTGCGTGAGTCTCAAAGCCCTGCAGGCAGCAGGAGCCAGCAGAACTTACCTGTGGTCCCCCCCCCCGGGTTGGCTGCTACTGAAGCAAGAGTGGTTTTCTTGGCTGGAGAATGGCTCGCACAGAGCTGTTGGCTATAGATCTAGGCAGCTTCCCAGGTCCTATCAAAATGGTTATGCTCAAGAAGTTTCCTGCTGTGCATCTATCATTTCATATGAGTACATAAAAAAGATTGGCTGGGAACTTGCTTTCAAAGGTAAAGAAAAGTTAATTCTCTAATAATTAAACCAGCAAGACCAAGTACCTGAGTTCCAGGACTCGCATAGTAAAGGAGAGAACTGCCTCCGGAAGGTTGGCCTGACTTTCACACTGGATCTGTGGCACGCACACCCCATGAATACTCACACAAAGGCGGTAAATGGATAGATGAGAGATAGACACATTGCGTATGTATGCATGTATGGATGTATGGATGGATGTCTCTATCTATCTATATACATGAGGAAGATGAGAGATTCTTGTAGATTTTCTCTTGTCAGCCTTGTTGGTTGTTTCGTTTTTGCAGGATGGTCTCCTGTATCCCAGGTAGGCTTCAAACTCATTATGTAGTTGAGTCTGACCTTGAACTCCAGCTCCTTCAGTCCCAGCCTCTCAAATGTTGGGTTTACAGGTGTGTGCCGCTGTACCCGGCTTCCTTTTGTTCTTTGTGATGAAAAACAGTATTGCAAATCTTTTAAAAATTAAGACTGAGGTGATTTATTAATCTTGTTAAGAACTCTGATACAAAGCACAGTAAAAGGCCACAGACCAGTAGATAAACAACGTGGCTTTTGGCTACTTTACAACTGCTGCTACTGCTCTATCAGCATAACATACTTTGATCACTTCGAACGAGAATGTCCAAAAGGCAAAAGCTTTAATCTGCCTGATTAAAAATTTAATAAAGCTTTAAGTATTTTCTGTTTAAATATTACCAATCTGGAAAAACTTTTAAAAAATTTCAATTAACACGAGATTAAAGAAAGTTAATAGGTTTTGAAGACAAGGCAGTTGGCAGTTGGTTCCTATGCCATAAGAAACTTTTGTTCTTGACTTACAAATTAGTAAAATAGCAGATTGTATTATAGGCCTCAAGTCACTTAAATTTATATAGGTTATTAGCATTATCTTTAAATATATACAATATAAATAAACTGTACATACATGGCATATTAACTTTGTTTTCCCAAACAAGAGGCAAATCATTAGCTAAAGACACCATACACTGCAAAACAAAAGGTGCATTGTAATGAGATACATGCCCCTTTTCTTCTGTAATTGGGTTATGTAGAATTGTTTGTAATTTTAACAAAATAATAAACACAGTACATTCTATTATTTCCATTCTATTTTCCGTGTTTTTGTTTGTTTTTGTTTTTTGTCTTCAGCAGCAAATACTGGCATTTAAGACATGGCATCAGAGAGTTTAAGAACAGTGGGTGTTATTCACTAGATGTAAAAACCAAATAAAGTTAAAACATAAGAAGATAGTCAAAGAGGGTTTAAAAACCAGTAACATCACAGTACATCTCTGTATCTGTGTAAATTTGTTGCCGTAAAAAGGCATCTATTACTCAAATTTGAGAAATTCCTCCAGAACACTATCCCCTTTCAGTGCAGTCAGTATCATTTTAAGCCGTATTTTAGCAGAGTCTACAGTGCAAATAGAAATTCATTATACTGGCCTTTGGGCAGCACTGAGAGGCTGAGACAAGGCAATGCTACTGATCACCTGAGGGTTATGGTGAAGGGCTTCTGCATTTTAATTTTTACAATTCTTTTCTTGATTTTTTTTTTTTGAGACAGGGTTTCTCTGCATAGCCCTGGCTGTCCTGGAACTCGCTCTATAGACCAAGCTGGCCCAAACTCAGAAATCCATCTGTCTCTGCTTCCAGGGTGCTGGGATTAAGGGTGTGCACCACCATGCCCGACAATTCTTCTAATTCTTAAAAGCTTATTTGATCAGTAGCATTTTTGTAAGAGCATTATTTGTAAAAAGTACTAAAATACTATGCCTCTTTTGAATAAATTAAAAACCTTTACAAATACTATTCCAGTGTCAATGACTGTGCATGGCTAAGGTCATTGAGGAGTTTCTGCATTTTCAAGCAAAGGCAGTCTGTACAGTGGCGGGTGTGAAAGTTCCCGTTTGTAGGTCTTTGGTGGCAGTTTGGGCAGGTGAGGGCTTGAATTCTGCCTTGGTGGAACAGGAGGAGCTGGGGGATGAGCGAGACTGTTGTGACTGGAACTGAGCAGATGGCTTCTGCGTGGCACTCGTGGAGAGGGTGTGCTGGGAGGAGTGCTTGGTGAGTTTGGACATGTGCTAACGTCTCTGAGCCAGTCTGGGTCTCTGTGGGCATGTCCCAGTGGAGGTGGCTGAAGAGTAAATGGACAGTTTATAAAGTGTTCTGGAGGCCGGAGAGGAACTGGAGGGGGGTGTCAGGAAGAGGCTCTCTTGGGGGGGGTGGAGGTGGACTGTGCGCAGGCCCGTCGAATGCACCAGTGGGGACGGGAACTCTTGGCTTCACCTTCGGAGGAGGAGGCTGTCTTGGTGGAATAGCAGGAGGGTCATCATCAGATTTCAATGTTCCCTAAACAAAACAAAAAGGGGTATGTCTAGTCTCTTTAAAATTGTGTAAGATAATTCTTCTGTGTCAAGTTAAATCTAGAGGCCCAAATTGAATGAATGTGGTTAATTATCACATTCCCAACTAAATTACTTCATTTAATTCTGGGCTCAGTTTAACATTTGGATATATAAGATGCTTTCACTGAGAGCTAAAAACATAGAGCCCCATATCGTCTTGCTTTGTTTCCAACATGCCAGAGATTTATAAAGCTTATTTATGGCCACGGGTCAGTAAAAGTGATACACTTTTACGGCCACAAAATGACATGCTGCCGGTGGTATTTAATTCCTACCTTCTGCTCACTGATCATCTACTTCTGTTTTTCTCCATGGTGCTTAAAGTGATGGATCTCAAAGTGGGATTCAGGAACCAGCAGTGTCAGTCCCAGCAGGAGATGGCTTAGCATAGCCAATTACCAGGCCCAACTGTAGCCCTATAACCTGGGGCTCAACAACCCATTTGTAAATTTTCCAGGTGATTCAGACATGTCCTTACATTTGAGAAGCACTAGTCTAAAGTTTTCAGGTTCTTTCAAATAAGAATTTCACCCCCCCCACACATACACATACCAAATCTGTACAAGAAAGACAATGTACTTCTGATTATCTGAATTTTCCCACTTTTTAAAAGTTTTTAAAAATTGTATTAAATGACTACTTAAAGTATTTTCAAATATGACAATCTAAATGTTGAAAATCCATAGAGTGTGGCTAAATTATGATTAACACATTCTAAAAATACTCTAAAGACGAGTATGATTTTGAAGATTCACAACTTTGCGTGAGTTGAGGCAAACCCAGGTCTAGACGGCTACCTTGGAATTTGAAGCATCATGGTCAACTTTCTTTCGAGGAGGAAGCGGAGGAGGAACGAGTGGCTCTTCACTCAGTTTGTGTAAACTTCCACACGAGCTGAAGAAAGTCTCTGGGGGAGAAGAGACTGGGTTACGCTCACAGTACAGGTACAGAACAAAACTCCACAACAGCTTATGATTCTATGTTACCATGGCTGTCAAATGCGTTATTCTCACATAGTTGTTTGTGATCTGTCTTCCCCACTGAAATTCTAAGCATTTTCCTCTATACCTGACTCCAGGCTTTTATTACCTAGACCAATTAAGAACTCCATCAGCATTTTGGTACTCAATGTCGGGCATGAACCCTCGACCCTGAGATTAAGAGTGGCATGCTCTACTGACTGAGCTAGTTGGGTGGTGGTGGAAGCACTTGCCTTTAATCCCAGCACTCTGGAGGCAGAGGCAGGTGGATCTCTGTGAGTTCAAGACCAGCCTGGTCTACAAAGGGACTTCCTGTTTCTCTCTGCTTATATCCTGTTTCCACCCAGTTAGCTCACTTCCTGTCTTTCTGTACAGATCCCTATGGTTAGTTAGAGGCAAGCTCTATCCTCTGACCTCCAGACAGGCTTTATTTGTACAAGCAAGATATCACCACAAAAATCCTCCTCTAAAAGCCTTTTAAAAATCCAAAACAAAAGCTGGGCGGTGGTGGCGCAAGCCTTTAATCCCAGCACTCAGCACGCAGGTAGATCTCTGTGAATTCGAGGCCAGCCGGTCTACAAAGGGAGTTCCAGGACAGCCTCCAAAGCGACAGAGAAACCCTGTCTTGAAAAACTAAAGGGGAAAAAAAAAAAACTAAAAATGGGTGTGTGTACATGTACATATGTGTTTGTACATATGGCACATTAGCTTCCAGAGTAAGACCATTCTAAACAGAAACTCTATTTCAAATACAAAGTAAATCTAGTTATTACACATAAAAAAGCAATCCCAAATTAGAGTTGGTAATATAAATACTACTAATGGGCTCCACTGTATCTCAACCAAACACAGTAAGCAAATGTGCACATCTGATGGACTATTTAGAAAAGTAAATGATCACAGCTATAAATAATGAATAAACACCAATTTAGCAATGCCAAGCATCAGGACAATTAAAATGAGTAAGATACAATAGAAACATCTTGGCTATTTCTCTCTGACTTGGGAAGCTGTGGGGCTTTTACTGGGTTTTGTCTGTTTGTTTGGTGGGCCTTAGAAGTAAGTGCTAGGCAAGTACCATAGCACCCCCAGCCCTAACGACAGGCTTCTACGATTCTTTTAGAAAGGAAACCTTTTCCTCACTGCACATGCAGCAGTTTCACTGGGCACTTGACTTGGAGTCTTATCTCTGGAAAGTCAGCTTGCTCTGAAAATGACATGGCAGAGCTAGGCCCAGTGCTGTAAGTATGTCACTGATACACAGAATACAGATGTTTCTACCACAGAAC